AAACCAGAGATGGGGAAAGACACCATAAGAAAAAAGAGCTCCAGAATCAGGGAGCCATTCAATGCAAAGGCCCTGTGGTGCGTGTGTGCTTGGCACCTTCAAGGCATAGTGAGAAGCAAGTAGAAGGAGGAGTAAGGAATGCTGGGAGAAAGTTAGTGAGGCCATGAGTATGTAGGACCTGCCCTCACTGATGCTTGAAGATAACCATAAACCCAGCCCAACACACACATACGTACTCAAAGTGTTGGGGCTTGAAGGCTTGGGGCCCCCATTGCTGTTTATACAAATGTAATCACGTGTATATTAACACTGGCCTTTCTCACTTAACAACGTACCATGGGCATCTTTTTAAAGCTCATAGCATGAATTGGGGCAGGCAAACTTTTTCTTTGAAGACCCCGCTCGTATATCCTTGAGCCTCTGTGGGCAGACCGCGTCCATGGCCGTTGCTCAATCCTGCTCTCGTCCACTCCAGAGCAGTCACAGACCACAGGTGAGGGGGTGGGTATGGCTGTATTCCAACAGAACTGAACTTACAAAATGCGTGGCAGGCCAGGAAACCACCTAAGGTGGTGGCTTCCAAACCCTGACATACAGCTTCCGTGTTCTATTCCCAAGGCCAAGAGTAGTGCCTGGCACATCGTAGGCACACAAAAAATATTTGTTAAATGAATAAATTTAATGTTTTTTTAAGCGGTTACAGAGTATTCCATTGCTAGAATACCATCCTAGGGCCTGAGGTTTTACAAATTAATCCTCTTATCAAGAAGATTTCCAGGAGTTAAGGTGTTTGGGTCAAAGCCTCATTTGCTTTCAGCTTGTCGGTGGCTCACTGCCTCCTTGAATCCCTTTGTTCTCTTGGCTTCTGTGACACTATACTCTGGTTTCTTTCCCTACCTCTCTTCCCAGTTTCTTTTCTTATATTGAAGTTTCCAGAGTCTTCCTGGCAGGTAGAATAAAGCCCCCCACCAAAGAGGTCTACATCCTCCTCCCCAGAATGCAAGATGTTACCTTACATGGCCAAAGGGACTTTGCAGAAGTGAGCGGCTCAGTTGGTTAAGCGGCTGCCTTCAGCTCAGGTCATGATCCCGGGGTCCTGGGATGAGTCGCTCATCAGGCTCCATGCTTGGTAGGGAGCCTGCTTCTCCCTCTGTCTGCTGCTCTCCCAGCTTGTGCTCTCTTTCTCTGTCTCTCGGTGACAAATGGATACACAAAATCTTAGGAAAAAAAAAAAAAGAAGAAGAAGGGATTAGGTCAAGGATGTTGAGATGGAGAGTGTATCCTGGATTATCCAGGTGGGCCCAATGTAATCATGGGAGTGGGGTGGGAGTAGGGTCTCCTAAAAGGAAGGCAGGAAGCTCAGCATCAGGAGATTTGACAATGGAAGCAGGGGCCAGGGTCAGAGTAACTGGATGCAAGAAGGTCTCAACCAAAATTCATGGCTTTGGAGATGGAGGAAGGGGCCACAAGCCAAAGAATCCAGTCTCTAAAAGCTGGAAAATGCAAAGGAACATATCCCCCTCCTGGAGCCTCCAGAAGGAATACAGCCCTGCTGAAACCTGTTTTAACCCAGTGAACCATTTTGGACTCCCGACCTCCCAAACTGTAAGCTAATAAATCTGTGTTGCTTTAAACCACGGAGTTGGTGGTAATTTTTAGAGCCGCCATTCGCTTTATATATAGGAATTAATACAGTTCCCCAGAGTGTAGTTCTGAATTTTCTTCTGCTCTCCATCTAAATGTACTCTTTTGGGGTTTCCATCCAGTTCGTGACTAACTCACAGATTTATATCTCTGGGCCACTGTGTGCATTTTTTTTTCCCACTTGACACTAATAGATTTTATTTGTTTATAGGTTCTTTTTTTTTTTTTAAGATTTTATGTATTTATTTGACAGAGAGAGAGATCACAAGTAGATGGAGAGGCAGGCAGAGAGAAAGAGAGAGAGAGGGAAGCAGGCTCCCCGCTGAGCAGAGAGCCCGATGCGGGACTCGATCCCAGGACCCTGAGATCATGACCCGAGCCGAAGGCAGCGGCTTAACCCACTGAGCCACCCAGGCGCCCCTGTTTATAGGTTCTTAATGCATGTTTTACTGGGCATGTGCTTTGATGCTGTTGGCCCAAACTCATGTACTCAGAAAAGAAAAAAAAAAAAAAACTGCACATTCACAGTTAATCATAAGTGGATGATTACATTTCCTTGTCATATTGCTCAGATGACAGCAGATATTTAAATAGTTCAGTATATCCCATTGCCTTGAGTGATGAAACCTTGTTATCCTGCCACTTCTGGTGAAAATTCTGGTTAATCCTTGAACACTTAGAACGCAAAAGAAGCCCATTCTCAGTGCCATACATGCCCTCACTGTCACAAGCCATACCTCAGGGGGCAATTCTGTGTCTCAGCAGACATTTGTCAACATGTCAAGACACTTTCGTTGATCCCCAACATTGGCAACATTTAATCCAATACTGCATTTGGAAAGTACCTTTAATCTCATCCCTTCTGAGGTTCTTTCAATCATCTACTTCCCATCTCTTTCAAACTATGTCCCTGGGGTGCCTGGGTGGCTCAGTGGTTAAAGCCTCTGCCTTTGGCTCAGGTCATGATCTCAGGGTCCCTGGGAGCGAGCCCCGCATCGGGCTCCCTGCTCTGCAGGGAGCCTGCTTCCCCCTCTCTCTCTCTGCCTGCCTCTATGCCTACTTGTGATCTTTGTCTGTCAAATAAATAAATAAAATAAAAAACTATGCCTGTGACAATTTCCATTTCTGAATTCCATTTCTGCAGCAACTCCTGCTACATTTGCTCCACTCCAAGTAAACATACTTGAGTTGCCATGGTTCACCCCAAATCCACTCAGGATGACAGCTTCTGGGATGCTAACATTTTCAGACATCATACAGCAAAACCTACCAGAATCCAGCTTACACACACTTCAAATCAGATGGCATTGGGATTGAAAACCACAATGTGGGCTCTAAACTGTCCAATCTGGGAAATTATGGATTCAAAGTTATTAACACTCTCTCTATGACAGATTTCAGCAATTTTCTCCACAATTTTAGAATCAGCAATAGACTGATTTTTATTTGCCGCAATTGTAGGTATCTAAAGAAATGGAACTCCTGTGCTGTACATCTATGATTTCTCCTTTGAGTTGTTCTTCCAAAATATCAACAGAGGTTAGTTAGATCATTAAGACTCCACAGAATGCTGAGGACCCAACATTCCCTTTAATGATGATATTTGAGACTGTGTCTTCGTCTGTAGCTGGTGCGTTAGGAGGTTTTTTTGGTAAGAGTAGCCATTGTGGGGCACCTGGCTGGCTCAGTCCATGGAGTGTGTGGCTCTTGATCTCAGGGTGATGAGTTTGAGCCCCACGTTGGGTACAGAGATTATTTATTAAAAAAAAAGGAGGGGGGTTGTCATTGAGCTCTGGGGAAAGAGAGGTGAGAGGAAGCAGAGGATGACACCGCTGCATCTTTCTCTTTAGACAAATGAACTGCAAAGAGAGGCAGCAACACCCCATTTCCTGTACATAGCCTTTAGTAAAGATATTATTACCCCATTACCTTCCCAAAAGGAATGTTCAGTACAACCAACACTGTATCAGTGCTTTTCTTAATTCACCTCTCGCCCATAATGAATTTTAACAAGTTTTTAAATATTGACAATTTGATGAGTGTGAAAATGTCTCATCGTTGAATTCTCTTTTCCCTAATTAATATAGCCCACGAATTTTTAAAGATCTAAGTTGTATTTTATTTACCTAACTTTAACCACAGGCTGTTCAGCCTTTACCACTAGATGCCAGTATTAACACTTCTCCCCCGTCCCTGCAACCAGCTTGCGTCTAGACCGCCAAAAGTCCCCTGAAGGGCAAAATCGCCCTCTTTCAACCAGCTGAAGAATATTGAGGTTGGACCACTCAAAAAGAGCTGGAGTATTCGGAGATACTTGGACAGCAAGTGGTATCTCACTGATACGGTTTCCTCTCTTGGCTTCTGTGACCCTGTGCTCTCCGGGTGTTCCCCGTCTCTCTGCTCCCTCATTCCCAGTCTGTTCTGCTGTAGTCAAGTTTCAAGAGTACACCAGGGCCTTCTGCTCTCCACTGAAACTTACTTCTTCAGGGTTTTCATATAGTTCTCCAGCTTTAAAAGGTATCTCTATTAATTTCTGCCACATTTAGAAAAGGTGCCTTCCAACCTGTTGGGGGAAGAGGGCGCTGGGACACCGGGGACAGCGCACCTCTGCAAGAGGGCTGTCAGGTCTCGCTCGACTTTCTTGGGCCAGGGGCTCCCTTTGCGAGCACCCACCGCGAGCGTGGAATGACCAGGTACACAGCAATCTACAGTTGACTCCAGCTGCCGGAGCTTCCAGAAAGGCCCACGGAGGGAGAGGGGGATGTGCCGCGAGGCGGTCAAGGCTGACGATGGCTGAAAGAGAGACCACCAAGGACAGAGACCAGTAGGGCTGGGCGTTCACAACGCGATCCCGACCGGGCCACAGCGACTTCGGAGCTCAAGCCGGGGAAGCGGTGAAATGAGCTAATCGTCTGTGCCCCGCGCGCCAGTTCCCCGCCAAGCTGACCGTGAGCGCACCAGCGGCAGAAACGAGCAGCCTCGCTTTCAGGAGCCAATCAGAGACCACGGAGGCTTATTATGACAACCTCGAGAACCAATGAAAAACCGGAATCCTCCCGGCCGGCCTCCCGAGCGCCTGTCCCGGGAGAGTCACCGAGAGGAAGTTTAGTAGAAAGTACAAATTAGAAGACAAGTCTGTTGCTCGACAACGGGACACTGCGTTTACAAAGATGCGTGCAGAAAACAGTGTGAGCGAACAGAACCTCACCTCACGGAAACCTCGCGGACGGGGACCTGTCAGTCACCCCCCCAAGCCCAGGGCTCGAGCGCGGGAGGGTACGTGCTGCGCGCTGACGTCACGCGCCGGCCCCGCCCCCCAGCCCGCCCGCCCTTATAGCGTAACCCTGGCGCGCGCGCACCATTGTGTGGCTGGACTCGGCCGCCGCTGCGGTGTGAGGCGCGTGTACAGGCTCTCGCTGTCCCCGCACCCGCACCGCGGCTTTTGCCTTGCGGTCCGTTGTTCGATAGCCAGCCTTCGGGGCCCCTGCCCGCCACGGACATGCCGCGCGTCTACATAGGACGCCTTAGCTACAACGTCCGGGAGAAGGACATCCAGCGCTTTTTCAGTGGCTATGGCCGCCTCCTCGAAATAGACCTCAAAAATGGGTGAGTCCTCCCGCGTCCTCCCGCAACGCCCCGGGTCTGGCAGCGGCGGGGCCCTGCTGGACGGAAGAGGGCCAAGGCCGCGGCGCCGCGTGGCAGGGCCTCCAAGATGGCGGCGGCGCGGGGCCGCGGGGCCGCGCACGGGGAGTGGGAGCGCGCGCGTGCGCGTCCCCGGCCTAACGACGCCTGCTGGTTCCCGGCCCTCGCGCCGCCCCCAGGTACGGCTTCGTGGAGTTCGAGGACTCCCGCGACGCCGACGACGCCGTTTACGAGCTGAACGGCAAAGAGCTCTGCGGCGAGCGCGTGATCGTGGAGCACGCTCGGGGCCCGCGCCGCGATCGCGACGGCTACAGCTACGGAAGCCGCAGTGAGTCCCACCCCCGCGCGCTCCGCGTCCTTGGGGCCCTGGGGGCGGGGCTTAGGGTGGGCGCAGGCTTAGGGTGGGCGGGGTGGGGCCTCCCAGCCCGGGCAGGCGCGGTGGCAGGGGTCCATTGATTACAGCGTCTCCGGGCTTTGCTGCCTTCGCGCCTGCCCGGGACAGCCACGGGACGCCGGAGCGCGGGGACTGGGTTGTGGGTTTTGCTTAGCCAGGGTTGGGGTGTTTGGGGGGGGGTTAAATTTTCTTATTTTTGGCTATTTGCTAAGTTGGGAGGGGGGTGGTTTGGGCCCCTGTCAGCACTGTCGTGGGCTCTGCCCACGGAGGAGGTGAGGGATGGCTGTATTTGTTATATTTCCCTTGCTTACCTGACAGTGCTTTAGCTAGAAATGGGAATGTGTTAGTGTAGAAGTTTGAGGGCAGGCTGGGTGGGGGTGGGGGGTGGGGACGGGGTCAGGGGAAGGGTATTAAGTTTAGATTTCAGATTTAATTAAATTGGCGGGGGCCAAAGAAAATGCTATTTTGAAGAAATGTGGTATAGTACCACAAAGTAGATTTAAATGAGCTTTATGCTATATTCGAACTAGTTGGGGCATGTTATTGGGAGGAGGTGGGAGGGGTTTGGTTATGTTAAATGTTTGATGTTGAAATTGTTGCATGTTGAATTCAAACTTTTTAACAAGTCCTTGATGTTTCAATTTGAAAGTGACCAATGGGGCTGAGGCTGTGTCCACTGAGGCTAAGATGACTGCCTTTCCTGATTGGCCTTGGCTTTTCCATACATTGTGTGACCCTTGCCCTATGACCCTTTGGCTGACCTTACCGGAAGCCATGACGACAGCAGCCTTTTGCCATTAGACGCAGGGTGATGGTGAGGATTCCAAGGGTTAGACAAAACTGGTTAATCTGAACTAGGTGACTGTTACCTTGCGTGTTTTGTGGCCAAACCACCACCAAAAACCTCACACTGTGATGTAAGTACTTAGTGTAACTAGTAAACATTTTTGTAAAATGTAGAAATGCATGTAATCAGTTAAGTTTTATATTTTACAATGTTCTGTAAAATAAAACTTAGCGAGGTAAATTGAATAAAGGAGCAGTCACTCTCTAACAGATTGTAGGAGAAGTTTAGTTGGATTTAGTCTATTTGACTTGCCCTTAATTTAATTTATGGCAAATCACAACTGTATCGAAGGTTTAGCAATATAATAGCAAAGTCCTACTCCAGTATATAAAAGTTGATATGTTTGTACTAACTTTCAAGAAAACATGCATTCCTATCATTACAAAGCATCTAATTATTCTCTTCATGTGATAAAGGTGGTGGAGGTGGATACAGCAGTCGGAGAACCTCTGGCAGAGACAAATACGGACCACCTGTTCGTACAGAATTCAGGCTTATTGTAGAAAACCTTTCTAGTCGTTGCAGTTGGCAAGATTTAAAGGTATGTGCTATAATTTGAGATAAAAATAATATGACTAATGTTGAAAAGGTAGGCTTTTATTTCATTTTACTTCTGAGAATTGAGTACGGTACGTAGATCTTTTTCTTTACGTTTCTAGGTTTGACCAGTCTTGTTGCTTTCTTAGGATTTCATGAGACAAGCAGGTGAAGTAACCTATGCGGATGCTCACAAAGAACGCACAAATGAAGGCGTGATTGAGTTCCGTTCCTACTCTGACATGAAGCGTGCTCTGGATAAACTGGATGGTACAGAAATAAATGGCAGGAATATTAGGCTCATTGAGGATAAACCACGAACAAGCCATAGGCGATCTTACTCTGGAAGCAGATCAAGGTAATTTGTTGAAAGATGGGGGAAAGGAAAGGAAACAGTACTTGCCAAGAGCAGAGGAAGATCAAATGGCAGTACTTGAATTGGAACTTAATTGAAACAAGTTCAGTATTTGGTGTCCTTTTTACTGCGCATCATTGGGTTCTTTCCAGGATGCTTTCGGGCGGATTTAGCTTGTAGTAAACTATTACGTTTTGTTTGCGTATTATTTTTTGTAAACGACAAAAGTTCGTTTTGAGATGTATTGAGATTAAAGATTTTTATTGTTTCTGGTTATAGGTCACGGTCTAGAAGAAGGTCACGAAGTAGGAGTCGCAGGAGCAGCCGCAGTAGATCTCGAAGTATCTCAAAAAGCCGCTCCCGGTAAATAATCTGTTAAGTTTTTTATTCTGATTGTTACTGTGCTTGTGTGTTCTGGCAAGGTACTGAAAAGAAAATCGACTCTTCTTGTCCAGATCCAGGTCTCGGAGCAAAGGTCGATCACGTTCTCGATCAAAAGGCAGGAAATCTAGATCAAAAAGCAAATCAAAGCCCAAGTCTGATCGGGGCTCCCGTTCGCGCTCTCGAAGCAGATCTAAGGAGTATGAGAAATCTCGAAGCAGGTCTCGTTCTCGATCTCGTTCCCCCAAAGAAAATGGAAAAGGTGATATAAAGTCAAAATCTAGATCAAGAAGCCAGTCTCGTTCAAATTCACCCCTACCTGCCCCACCCTCAAAGGCACGGTCCGTGTCCCCTCCACCAAAAAGAGCCTCAAGATCCCGCTCTAGATCTCATTCAAAGTCAAGATCACGATCCAGATCGAGTTCCAGAGATTAACCTAGAACTCTGTATTCTTTGCACACTATTATGGAACACTTTCCTACTTGCTTAGGCAGTTCCTCTTCCATGTTTGTACTTGGCCTCTTCTGCAAGAGGAATCTCCTGAAAATGGGGCACACAGAAATTTAATTTGTGGCCAAATTTGATGAAAAAAAAAAATGAGGTTCTAAAGAAATGGTGGCATGAAGTCAAAGACCCTCTCCCTTCTTTGTAGAATTAAGATAACTTTGATTTTATAGCTTTTGAGCTAAAATAACTTTTGTAAAGATTAAGCTCATTTAGATTTTTTTTTTAAGTATTTCAGCAGGATCTGCTGCAGGGATTTTGTTGTTTTGTTTGCTTTTAAATTAACCGTTTCAAGCTTTGAATACCTAAGGCTTTAGAGGGAGATCCCGATTTTCAATTATGTTGGCTTTTTATAAAGCTTGAGTTATGTAAGATTTCAATAAAAATTTGCTACCAAGTTGATTGCCTTACTGAATAGGTCACTTAAATTCCTTTAAATATTGATAATTTGTTCTTTGTGAAACTGTAAATTACATAAGTGTAAAAGAAGGCAAGTCTCAGACCAGCAATAAATTATTCCATTTGGATAACATTTGTGCTGTTAATCAAATTTGCCAAAGTCTATCTGCCCCTTTGAGTTAAGTTAAAAATAAAAGGTATTTTGTAGTCCGTTACATGATTTTGCCTAAATTAGTAGGTTTTAAATAATGAAACTTTTTAAACTTAAGTTTGCTCAAACTCTTGGAAGAAGTAGTTCTTAACACTTGGGATCCCATTTAGCCTAGTAATTCTACTTTCTGGAAGTGGTCAGTGTAATTAGTGTTTTGTTAGAGTATGGTTCTGTGGTCTTCAATGTTTGTTATATAAAAATGGAAGTAGCCTTTCTTTGATTGGAAATTTAGTTTATTCTTGTTCAAAGTGGGAAAGCAAATACTGCATTTTCTGCTGGAAGATCATTACATTTAACAGGCACTTAACAGGTTGCTTGGTAAAATCAGTTGCTTATTAAAGTAAAATTCTACCCAACAGTCAGTCCTCCTTGTAGTTGATGAGGTTATGTAATAATGGGTTAGATCATCCCTGTAACTTTACGACATATGGTTGGCTTGAAAAGGATTTGCGTAGATAAACCCTAACCTTTCTGTACTTTATTATGAAGTGTAATATGCTATGGAAGCCAAATTATACTGCAAATTTGTAGGAGGTACTGGGTAACCAGTTAGTCCCTGTATCTGTAGACCTAATTAGTTGAAATTGCAGTTTGAGAAATGAATTACCTTAGATCTTTTTGTTCAGGTACTTTTCAATGAAATTAAAGCACTCATTAACCTTGGTTTGGAACTGAGATGTAGGTTATTTGACTCAGCTTTTGTATCTTCTAGGAACTGTCACTGTAGGATCAAGGGCTGGGTTGTACTATATGATAGGGCATGATGGTATGGTGCTCATCGTGCCGCAGGTATGACTAGAAAGCATGATAATCTAGAGTTGGTTTATAGGTTCAAATAATCCAGAAGGCATACCTGATAAAATGAGGCTACTTTAAAAAAAAGGAGTCAAAGATTTTAGGCATCAGAATCAGAGTAGCAGGGAGTACTTGATAATGAGTAAAAAGACTTGTTTTTGAGAAATTTCTGGGCTTCCTTTTACAAAATCTTAGAGCCTACTCTTAGGAATATAGTGCCCCAAAAGATTAATGCTTCTTCCATAACCTTATTTTCTTTACTTTCATACTTCCTAAAATTTAGATATTCATATGAAATGGGTTTTTTTTTCCAGTATAAACTTCAGGATTTCAGAGAAGACACTGGTGTCTACAGTCGTAGTTCATTATTTTGCCTACTTGAAAGAACAGAAATTACAAACAACTCTTACATGAAGAGGCACATCTCCAGCTGCCTTTCAAAATTTGGTTTAAGAATTGGCTTTGACCAAAGGTCTCTTGTTTTCAGGGAAAAAACAAAAGCTTTTAAAACCACAGCCTTTTAAAAAGGAAGGGGGGGAAATAGCACAATGTGAAATTTGACTTTGTAAAGTCATCCTTCAACTGGGCTTTCTTGTATTAGTGTAACATCACATGGTAATAGGTTTTGTGTACATTGTTAGCTGCCCCCAAAGTGGGTAATTGGAAGGTAAATGCCTATACCCATAAGTTTTCTGGTAACAGTAAAGACCAACTTAGTGAAAACCTAGTCCTAGTCCATACCTGTGGACCTGTACATCATTGGATATGCTAAAGCCCTAGAACACTGACCCACTTAAGAGCAGAGTTCACTGAAATGTTTAGTTCTTGCTGACTTATAAGTAGAATCTGAGCGTCTGCAATATGCCATGTGTACATCTGTGGCTGGATAGAGTATTAAACAGAGAGCAAAAACAGAAATGAGCAACATGAGGATTCCCCTTTCTTTTACCTGATAATGTTGTTTGATACGCCATAGTGCCTTTAAGGCCAGTTTGAGTCCTACCAGTTCCTGTGATGACGTTCCAGTCCTGTGTTGTTACTACCTTCATCTTGGTATTTTCTTTTTCCCACTTTGTTAACCCACTTTATGCTTTATCTCCTCAATAAAATGCTTACTGAGGGAAAGGCTCGTTTTGAATTCATTTGTATTCCCACTTAGTGCCAAACATTTGGCACATGGTTTTTTGAACTAGCGTTGGCCATTGGCAAGCCATTCCTGACTTGAGTAGGAGAAAAGGGCGTTGTTTTCAGTTCCCCAGAGACCTGCGTTTAGGATCAACATAGTGGATGGCTTATCTTGGGGGAAAAGTCTTTACCCCAGTCAGTCTTGGATGTTACCCGGGAAATGGTAAGCATAAGTCATGAGTTGTGAAGATAGGTTAATACCTAGGGTGTCTGGCTGGCTTGGTGGAGCATGTGACTCAATCTCAAGGTTGTAGGTTTGAGCCCCATGTTGGGTATAGAGATTGCTTTAAAATCTTTTTAAAAACAAAGGTTAGGGATGCCTGGGCGACTCAGTTAAAGGGGCTACTTTCCACTCAGCTCGTGATCCCAGAAGCGTGGCATTGAGCCCCATGTAGGGTTCTCTGCTCAACAGTCTGCTTTCTCCCACTGCCTGCCATTCCCCCTGCTTGTGTGCTTGCTCACGCTGTCAAATAAAATCTTTAAAAATAATAAAAATAAAGGTTAGTAAGTGGGAAGTGTTTAGTACCATAATGAGTACTATCTGCTACTGTGAAGAATTAAGCATACGAAACCTTTTTTATATTGTCTTGCCTTATTTTCACATGAAATTTACTTGTTTTCACCTTGTAGTGATTGAACATTTTCCATAATAATAATTTCTCGGGAAAAGTAAGAAACTATAATCACCTTTTCCAAAATCCTTAATCTAATGTCCTTAATTTAGGACTTGGAGCACTCTAAACTTTGGCAGTTTACATTTAGGAAACTTCACATTGTTATTTACCTTGTGTTCAGAAAGTGTTTTGTCACTATTCAATTTCAGTCCTATGGCACTTGAATGATTTTAAGATATATTTTTTAAGATTTTATTTATTTATTTGACAGATCACAAGTAGGCAGAGAGCTAGGCGGGGAGTGAGGGGGGGGGCAGCAGTGAGGGGGAAGCAGGCTCCCTGCTGAGCAGAGAGCCTGGTTCGGGGCTCCATCCCAGGACCCTGGGATCATGACCTGAGCTGAAGGCAGACGCCCCAAATATTCTTAAATTTTGACTTAATTTTAATTACAAAAGTATACGTACTTAGGAACATAAAGTGTCTTTCCTTAGAGCCCTTTGGCTAAGGTAGCTGCTATTAACAATATGTCTGTGCCTAGATTTTGGTCCTAAAATCTGTTCCAACAAGCTGTTCTTAGCATGAGTGGTATTCTACAACTTGTTTTTACTTAGAGATCTGCTATTTTAAATGACTGACAAGTATACTCCTGAATACTTTTTCAGTACCAACATTGTTTTATTGAAGTAATCCCTTGGCTTATGTGGCAGGAATGAAAAATAACTACTTTTAACATTAAGTATCAAACGAGAATATAGAGAGTTTTAACATAGTTTAGTACATGGTAAATTTACAAACATTAAAGTTCGAACTCTTTTAAGCAGTGCCACTTCCGGAATAAGATGGATATGTGTATGTTTAACACCATGTATGCTACTGTGTGCTAAAAGGGTGAGTTGATGGGATTATGTAATTGATCTAGGTTCTCAACAGCTTGTTCAGATTGTCTTGGCTGTGTAGCAGCAGCCCACAGATGGGCCCCCAGTTTAGTACTTACTAAATGGTTAACTTTTTTTTTTTTTTTGAGATTTATTTATTTATTGTAGAGAGAGCACACAAGTGGAAGAGAGGAAATCCCTAGACTCACTCCCCACTGAGCTCAGAGCCTGACTGGGGGCTCTATCCCAGGAGCCTGAGATTGTGGCTAAGCGGAATCGAAGAGTTAGCTGCTTAACCAATTGAGCCATGCAGGTGCCCCAGTGATTAAGTTTTTATACTTGAGCAGGAAGGAATTGTGGTTCCTTCAGAAGTTGGAAGAGAAGCATAAGAGTTAATAACAGCAAATTCCACCTTTGACCCTTTGGAGTAAGCCAGGATTGCTAGTTTTTTGTGTATCCTTCTGGAAATGCAAATCTAGAAAAATTGATAGTCCCCAGGTAGTTTATCATAGGTCACTGGAACTTTACAAAGAGAGGTAACAATAAGTATTGCAGCTCAAACCCTAGGAAACTACATGTAATTAAATTTTTATTTACTGTTAACATCCATGTATTTATACCTATTATCAGTGTCCTTTCTAAGGAAGTCCTAGAATTACGATTTATAAGCAGAGGTAGGATTTAAAGCCTAGTTCAGTTCCTAACAGCCCTGAAGCATTAGAAAAAAATGTGTGTCAGATAATTCCTAGTGAAAAGCACTCAAGAAATTAGATTGAGTAAGGCTCAGAAAGTACAGAATGCACATACTTTCAAGTAGAATTATTCTGGTAAATAGGAAAACTCTGTACGAAAAACTACCCTTTTCAAATTCGCTAATTATACTTTGTTTCATTTACATGGGTTTTTTGGTTTTTTTCCTCCTGAATCCTAGGAAAGTAGAGACATCTTGCTGTTCTATCCCTAAAAACTATTTCCTAGTAATGGGACACTGTCTGTGTAACTACAGTGCCTACCAAAAATAGCGTCCGTAGTTTCTACTCCACGGTCCAGAGTCCTGTTTCATTAGTGGTCTGCTAATAATCTTTCCATTAGTCAGGATCATTTGCCACATTTTGTTGTCCTGGTTCTTTGGTCTCTTCTAATCTAGACCGGGTCCTCTTGACATTGTCGTTTTTGAAGAGTAGAGGACAGTTAACTTTGTAGAATTTTCCCTCAATTTGGGTTTGTCTGATGTTTCCTCGTGTTTGCATTTTTAGCAGGAATATCACAAGAATGAGACTGTGCTCAGTGCACCATATCTAGTCATTTTATAATAACCTGTAAGTCACTATTTCTGTGAATAGACAGTCTTACAAAGTTAAAAGAAGGAGGGGTGCCTGGGTGGCTCAGTGGGTTAAAGCTTCTGCCTTCAGCTCAGGTCGTGATCTCGGGGTCCTGGGATTGAGCTCCACATCGGGCTCTCTGCTCCGCAGGGGGCCTGCGTCCTCTCTCTCTCTGCCTGCCTCTCTGCCTACTTGTGATCTCTGTCTGTCAAATAAATAAATAAAACCTTAAAAAAAAAAGTTAAAAGAAGGAGTTTTTGGTTTTAGGGAGGGAGCCAGTCATTTTCAAATTTAAGAGCTGCTGAAGAGAGAGCTTTATTGGCAACAGATAATACTCCATTACCACTGAAAGCAGGAGAGTGATTCTAGCCCAGGGCCAAGAAGGGAGCAGGAGGCCACTTTAAATAGATGAGAGATGGCAAAGATGAACTGGAAATAAGCTGCGTCCTCACATAGAAAATAGTGCCCTCTAGTGTTGTGCGGGTAAATGCTGTTATCCAAGCACTCTTGGCAGATCCTTAAAGATTAATCCTTAAAGATTAGCTGTTCTTACTAAAACATTCTGTAAATAGTCAAACCCTAAAATTTCTAGCCAATGGAGGAAAAGGTAGGCAAAGCAGAGTTGCTGAATATGGTGCCCAAGTATGAGAGTAATTGACCACTACTACTTTCTAGCTATCCTAAACAGCTTTGAGTGTGCTATTTAAATATATTGCTGTTCTTGGGGCGCCTGGGTGGCTCAGTGGGTTAAAGCCTCTGCCTTCGGCTCAGGTCATGATCCCAGAGTCCTGGGATCGAGCCCCACATCGGGTTCCCTGCTCAGCGGGGAGCCTGCTTCCCTCTCTCTCTCTCTCTGCCTGCCTCTCTGCCTACTTGTGATCTCTGTCAAATAAATAAATAAAATCTTAAAAAAAAAAATAAAATAAATATATTGCTGTTCTTTTGATTTTAGAAGATTGCAGACACCAGCTAGAGAATAGTGATGAACCTTGGGTAGTTACTCGGCTTTTACAATATAGATCTGTCTGCTTCCTCTCCAGGTAATTTTGAAGGAAATCCTAGACATTCTAGCTGAGGGTAGTTCACTGTATACCTCTAAAAAACATCTTAAGTTTCCTCAATTTCTTGTTCTTTGTAGTATATTTGTTGATGGTCACTGTTGAGTAGTTTCTAAGTCTTGATTTTGCTGATTGCATTCTCATGGTATCGTCTAGCATGTTCTGGACCTAAGAACAGTGGTTCTCAAAGTGTGCATGGACCAGTAATATCGGCAGCATTGTCTGGGAATTTGTTTAAAATGCAGTTTCTCAAGCCCCACCCTAGATCATTGAATCAGAAACTAAATTGGAGCCCAGCCATAGTGGTGTTATAATAAGCCTTCCAAATGATTCTGGTCCATGCTCAAGTTGGAGATCATTATTCTAGAGGCTTTGTCAGATTCTGGTGGGGGGTTTTTCCTTCCCAAAACTACTTGGATATCTTTTGTCATTGTCATTGGGAGGCATTGATGATCTTTGCCTAGGCTCATTAAACCATGAGTTCATGATTTTAAACACCTTTTTTTCCAATCCATGGCAGTTCTCCTTACTGGTGTGGCCTTTGTCTATCTTTAGTCAGTGGAAGTCAACTCAGGTTGCCTCCTGAGTTCATTCAAAGCAGCCCTAGTAATCTTACCAGTTTCCTTGCTTTCTAATATGGTGGGATTTCTAAACTTTCTAGTCCCAGACGTGGAAGCAGCCATTTCTCTAATGAACCCAGGTTATCTTTATTTGGAAACGGTATTTAGCAAGCACAACCTGGGCCCTTGGGTGTTCATTGCTTCTCACTAGATCTCTGCTCTTGTGAAGGTCCTCTCTTGCAGGCTAAACATCCCCTCAGCTGTCTCAGCGTGGCAGTTTTAAAGCCCCTAACCATCTCTGTTGTCTCCCTGTATTCTGGGTGGTCAGGTCCCTCTTACAGAGCGGGGCCTGCTAGTCAAGAGACAGCACTCCAGATTTGCTTTAACCTGCTCAGAGCAGGGGCGCCTGGGTGGCTCAGTTGGTTAAGCGTCTGCTTGCAGCTTGGATCCTGATCCTGGGGTCCTGGGATGGAGAGTTTGTTTTTGCTTCTGCCCCCCCCCCCCCCCGCCC